CTGCAATCTGTATTTGGGGTAAAAATGGGAGTTCATAACCCACTTGAATCTAATGTATGAAATATGATATGTCAAGAGCTTTGTAATGTTTTGAACAACGAATAAAAAAACTAAAATAAAATAATGGTTGAAAAATATAATGACAGTTTATCCTCTGGAAAACACTAATCTATAGGCTATGATTTAAAATTAGAAACAATATGGATGATGAATTAGTTCAAAGGTTACAAACTCAGTGGTCAACTAGGGCCAAACAAAACAAATTATCAAGTGGGCCAGATCCGTTTCATAATAAATAGGATTTTAACACAGGTATGTTTTATATGTTATACTTGGGGCAATAGTCTTTATTTCAGACAAATAAACATGTACTTTTTTGAAATTACAATAATTCCTAGAACTTTATCAATATAAGAAAAAATTTTTTCCTTTTTATTATACTGTGAAAAAATTAAAATTGCCTAAAACTGACCCTCAGTTTTGGCACTGAGGAAATTAGCAGTAACTATGTGGATGCAGCAAATAGAAAAGCACATGTCACATCACTGTCTGATGATTCCAGAGACAAAGCAGTCAGAGGATGTTGATGTGAAACCAATGTGTTTTAAAAATGTGGATCAATACCCAGAGGAAAGGTTTTTGTGTTTGTTTGGGTACTGGGGATTAAACCGAGGGTCACTCAATCATTGAGCAACATCCCCGGCCCTTTTTTATATTTTATTTAGAGACAGGGTCTCACTGAATTGCTTAGGGCCTCATTAAATTGCTGAGGCTGCATTTGAACTTGTGATCCTTCAGCCTCTTGACCTATTGGGATTATAAGCATGCACCACCATACCCAGCCCCCAGAGATAAATTAAAGCCAGTAGCAGTGAACACTGTGAGGCCATACAAAGCCTGACTGCAGGCCAGATGGCTGAATACCCAGCAGTCTGTAACCAGCCAGATAGCTTTTGCTGTATCATCTCATAGGATTCATCGAATCATTCAGGGCACAGAACAACAGCAGACAAAGTCATCAGAAGCTACCACACTGAAGGCCTGGAAGAGGACTAATTACAGCTTAATATCCCTACCAAACTTAATAATCTTACCTTAATATCCCTACCTAACTTAACTTGATCTGAAGAGAGGGAAAGAAAAACGAAACAAAAACAGGATACAGCCCATATTAGTCTGTTTCCTGTAAAGTACACCCTCTAATCTTTTTTAGGTCAAGGGTTGGCTTATTGCTGTTTGTTTTATTCTTCTGAGGAAATAGAATAGGCAACTATTCATTAGTGCCTACTACTTCTGGGCATTGTGCTAGATGTTGGAGATCTAAATGAATGAGACTTCCATGGGCCTCCTCACAAAGTATGATAAGGATGTCAGATGATATCACAAGGAATTATAATAAAATAGTATGAGTGCTGAGATAGAGAAAGATCAGGGTACATGGGACTTTACTCCATGTAGGCAGTTCCTGGAAGTCTCCCTTCAGCTAAGCCCTTAAACGTGCCCCAAGGAAAAGATGAGGAAGCCAGTGTCCTGCAGAGGAACCCACATGTGTGGTCATGGACAGATGAGAGCAGGGAAGCCTTGAGAAATGTAGAGTCTCCTAGAAGGGGAGGAACAACTGAGAAGAGGGTAGAAGGATGTAGCTAGGGTCACTTAGGAGGACTTCACCTGGAATTTACCAGATTATAGGCTGCTTGTGTTTTAAAGTCTCCCTCTTATAGTGTGTAAAGAATAAATGAGCAGGACGGAGACTGGAGGTGGAGATGAAGTTCATGCTGCCCTCCTAGGCCTCTGCTCTTCACAGTAAGGGTCTAACAACCGAGGCTGGACAATATTGAAAGTATGGGGGCAGTAGAACCTGGTGGGAAGGGCAGCAAGGTGAAAATAGAGGACCCTGTCCTCTTGCTCCCTAGCAGCAGAGTCTCCAGCTCTACATTCTGTCTTGGGAAAAATGGCATAGTAATGAGGCCATATGCTTCCAGCCTCCCAGGAACAGCCTCCTAGGATCAAGGGATGGGAATAGGCTATGTCAAGGATCGAGTGCTGTGTCAGTGATAGAGATTTTTATGGCCAAACACAGAAAGGAGAGCATGGACTGAAAATTATTTAAGAAAAAAGTATTGTTTCCTTCTAAAATAATTTGAAAACATTATTGATCCCCAAGACAGATGATATAATTCAAATCCTATTACGTGGTCCATAATAGGACACATTCTCAAATGCTGCTATTCTGTATTCTATGTGTTCTGAGAGTGAAAGGGCTCTGGGTCTAACTTTACTGTTTTAAACATTTCACTCATTCATTCAAAAATAATCTCTCCTTACTAGTGTCAGGCACTATTCTAGGCATTGGAGATCTAGCATTGAGCAAAAAAACCTTAAGTTCTCACTTTCATTCTGGAATTTCTCCAGATCTTAGAACAATCCAACTTTGTTATTATCCCACCACTTCCATGAATATCTGTTTAATATATGAATCTAAAAGATAATAATTGTATATGATTTGAAGGCTTTTCATTTCTTGTTTTTGAGTAGAGATGAACCTAATTAGAAGTCAGTCTTAACAATACTGGCCTCATGCATGACAATATTATTAGGTGAGAAATCTTGCAAGCAAAAGTTTCTAGAAGTATTTAATTAATACATGAAACAAGCAATTATTGAACATGTATATGCACAGAAAATTGGGCAAGATGTTATTGGAATGGAAACAAGCACAATTAAGTGATCAGCAATATGCCCTTGGTATAATTTGAGTTGAAAGACATGTTTTAAAATGCTTCTGTAGAAATCAGTAAATGATAAATACAAAATTAATGGTATGGACTACAAATAATAAACAATGACCTTTACTGAGCATCCACTATGCGCCACACACTATTCTAAGCCCTTGTGTGCATTAATTCCGTCCTAGAAGAACCTTACGACAGAAACATTATCATCATGCTCAATTCAAAATGGAGAAAACTGAGGCACAGAGAGCGAAACTAATCTGCCTATCGTGGCACACAAGGTCTGCAACAGAACTGGACTCTGGTCTGCTCAAAGCCTGTCCTCGCAATCATGCTTTCAGCTTCTCTGTTACATATTACTATGAACATGGTAATGACTAGAGAGTGGAGGGAAAGCATCACAGGCAGAGCCTTGAGGAGACGTAGTGTGGCCCCAAGGAAGAGCAATGAATGGGGCCAGGTTCCTGGCTGATTGCTTGTGGTAGATTCACCCAGATTCTTTGAATCTCATGTCTCACCTGTAAAATAAACTGCACTAGGTGAGGCTTTTGCTCTAAAAATGTTTGAATCCATGGATGAATCAATCTAGCCAATGGGAACTCATTGACCCAGGAACTGGCTCCTTGACCCAGGAACTGGCTTTAGGTCAGTCTTCAAGTACCACATTTTTTAAGCTCTCTTCCAGATTTGTTCCAGATCAGTTCTGATCATGTTTTTACTAAGGAAAAGGCTAGATAATAAGTTCCATTGTCACTATATTTGATCAATGGCAAAAAAATCGATCTGTTGGTCAGAGATGTTGGTCTCTTCCAAATCCTTCTCCAAACATATCTGATCAAGCCCCAACATACCTTTCTATGCAGGGAGCTGAGCAGAGCAACAAGAGAAATAGCTGTAGTAGATATAAATGAATTCATAGGATTGAGGACCCTCAGAGAATCTATCTGTCCTAAAATGCTGTTAGCATATACTCAACTTTAAAAATGACTTATGAAAGCTGTCTGCATTAATCATGGAGGGTGTGCCACTTTATTTATTTATTTTTTTTGTGGTACTAGGCCTCAGGCATGCTGACCAAGCACTCTATAACTGAGCTACACCCCCAGTCCAAGGGTGTGCTATATTTGTAGAAGTTTCATTTCATATGTCATTTTAACTATGGAAATATAATGAAAATGTAGTGAACAATAGACTGACCTGGATACTATTTATTACAGCTATTAATTAATTAAACATTTCAGAGCCAGGCATAGCAGTGCATGTAATTCCAGTGGCTCAGGAGGCTGAGGCAGGAGGATCCAGAGTTCAAAGCCAGCCTCAGCAAAAGCAAGGCACTAAGCAACTCAGTGAGAACCTGTCTCTAAATAAAATACAAAATAGGTCTGGGGATGTAGCTTAGTGCCCCTAAGTTCAAACTCTAGTAACAAAATAATAATAAAAATAAAGATAAAAATTTCAGTGATATATAAAAATTCATTACACATCAACACTTGAGAAGGATACCTTGTAGCAGGCACAGTGGTGGGCACCTATAATCCCAGTGACTCAGGAAGCTGAGGCAGGAGGATCACAGGTTTGAGGCTAGTCTCAGCAATTTAGTAAGACCCTGTCTCAAAAGAAAAAATAAAAAGGGCAGGAAAGTAGCTCAGAGGTAAAGCATCCCTGCATTCAATCTCTAGTATAAACAACAACAACAAAAACACTGTATTGTGAAGAGAACTATGACTTTCTTGAAAATTCATCTCTAGAGATAAGCAGCAGCACAGCATATTTTTAAGTATGTCAAGGCCTTGCACAAAATAAAAGCACTACTCATGACCCCATGGACACTTTCATTATGTATGGCATGTGTCTTCATGGTGCCACAATCATCAAAAGTGTCCAATAGGGCTTCTTTGCTCTGATGATTCTCTTTCTCAATAAGAATACTTTGTATGTATTTCCATTAAAAATTAAATTTACTATTAAAAATTAAACTGTGCTCTTTACATCCAACTCATGGTACTGACTGTTAATTCTCAACACTATGGTTGACAACATAGTTTAACAATTAACATTTGATATTTTAGATTGTAATATGTATTTGTAATTTGATATTATCCTTGGGATGCTGTATAAACTGTCAACAGAGCAAAGAAATAATCCAAATGAATCAAATCCTTTGCTGATCAGCTGGAAGAGGTATCTTGCACAAACAAGGTAAACCATGAATGATGAACCACTAAGAAAGGAGATCTTTAAATCCACAAGCAAAGAATATGTACTTACTTGTGATGGTTGCCTTGTGGAATGCTTGAAAAAGTTCTCTAAGGTGGTATTTGGTATAATTTTTTTAACTTCCTTTTGAATGCCAAATGTTTTTGCTAGAGGTGTAGCAACAAACCTACAAAAATATGAAAAGAAATTAAGCTCAATATTTCAGAATGAATCCACAACAATACCAGAAAACTAGAGCTGTAACTTCAGATGCTCAGGGAAAAATCCATCATTTGCTTGTGTTGTGCTATAGTTTGGATGCTGAATGTCTCCCAAAGATCCATGTGTTACTTTGGTTCTCAGGTGGCACTACTGGGAGGTACTGTGGATTTCTAAGAGGCAGGACCTGGTGGGAGGTTCTTAGATAATTGGGAATATGCTCTTTTGCTTCCTGATTCATGAGGTAAGCAGTTTGCTCCACAATTTCTATTTGATTCTTTGTTATAATTTATATTTTCTTACTTTACTGACATTGTTGATTTGATAACATATTGTTCTCATACTTTCATTTAGTTCCTTTTTAACTCATCTGCATTTATTATTCTTTAAAGCAGAATATTGACTTGGGTACTAAACATTTCCATTCACAAGCCTTACTGACTTTCTGATTGAACTGCTTTGTAACGCTCCTAGGGAGGGTTAAGTTTTGTTCCTCTCACTAATTTTATTTGGAAAACAAGCCCTGGAGAGGCCAGCCAGTTGTTTCAGTTTAACATACCTGGTTCTAGAGCACTAGTATATGCACAATGGCATAGAAAGTTTAAAAAGTGGAATCTAACGAGATGAAACTCAAGCCATTTTAACAAATATTTTTCTTTTAAACATAGAGGTCTATCTTGGAGCACTTTAGGAACAAAAGATTTGGTCTGGTCTACTAGGGATACAAGTTGGTAGTGAACACTTTAGACCACAAAGTTAATGATAGGTTACATGTTTTAGAACATCTCAACCTGTTAAAAAATAAGCCAATGTGAAACTAGAAAAAGCATTACTAGCTCTGCATTAGTGCCTAAAGCATCACAGTATCACTTAAAAGTATAAAGAAATCTTATCTTCCCTCAAGTAGTTATTGTCGTGCCATACAGACTGTTTGATAAATGTTAATTAAAAACAAAGAACAAAAAAATCCTTGAAAACATCAGGAATGAAGGTGAAGTAGGGGACACATGTATGAGTGGTTCTTCAGAAGCTTAGTCTACTTCTTCCATGCGCCATGTGTCATCGTCTCCTTCCAAGCAAGCATCTCTTCCGTTTTACAGCAGCTCTGGTGTCATCAGCAGTGGAGTCACCCTCATCAATACCTAGACCAAATTTGATCATCCTGTAGATCCTGTTAGCATGGGTCTTGGGATCTTCCAAACTGAAACCAGAAGACAGGAGTGCAGTTTCATACAGCAAGATGACCAGATCTCTCACAGACTTATTCTTATCAGCCTCTGCCTTTTGCCTTAAGGTCTCAATGATAGAGTGGTCAGGGTTTATCTCCAGATGTTTCTTCACTGCCATGTAGCCCACTGTAAAGTTGTCTCTCAGAGCATGAGATTTCATGATTCTTTCCATGTTTGTTGTCTAGCCATACATGCTTATGATGATACAGCATGGGAGGTAACCAATCAGTTTGACACACCACTTTTTCAACCTTTTTCTCCAAGATGTCCTTCATGAACTTGCAGAGGTTTTCAAACTTTGTCTTTTTCTGTTCCTGTTTCTTCTTCTCTTTTTCATCCTCTGGAAGCTCCAAGCCCTTTTTTGTGATGGACACTAAAATCTTCCCCTTAAATTCATTCAGCTGTTGAACACAGTACACATAGATGGGCTTGATCATATAGATCACTTCCAAACTATGTTTCTGAAAATGCTCCACAAAGACAGAGTTAGCTACCTAGTCCCTGGTCTCACCTGTGATATAGTAGATGTGTTTCTGGTTTTCCTTCATTCTGGTGCAATAGTCCTTGAGAGAAACTATCTCATCCCTAGAAGCAGATATGTAGTATCATAACAGCTCTGAATACTTCTATCAATTTTGAGAGTCTTCATGTATTCCAAACTTTACATTTTTAGAAAACTACTCACAGAATTTTTTTTAAATATTTTTAGTTGTAAATGGACACAATACCTTTATTTTGTTTATTTAGCTTTTCTTTCTTTCTTTTTTTTTTAATGTGGTGCTGGGGACCCAGTGCCTCAAATGCGCTAAGCAAGCAGTCTACCACTGAGCCACAACCCCAGCCAGATCATAGGATTTTTTGTAGTTCTCTTTATCTTCTCCAGTTCAATGAACCGTTCTAAGCATTTTTTAACCAAATTCTTTCTGATGACTTTGAAAATTTGGCTCTGTTGCAACATTTCATGGAAAATATTTAGAGGAAGATCCTCGGAGTCCACCACTCCTTTAATGAAGTTCAGATATTCAGGGATTAGCGTCTCACAGTTATCCATGATGAAAACCCTGCATACACACAACTTAATGTTGTTGTTGGGTGTTTGAGAGACTCCCCACTGAGGTTAAGTTTCAGTCTCAAGAGAACATCACGGAATTCCTTACCCCTCCCCCTCCTCTCTGAAGGGCGCCAAGCCCAAGAGCGCCAAATTCAAAAGTTTCTTGACCAATCCCCATAGGACACAGTGTCCGCTGGCTGTTCCTGAGTCTCCCTACCAGTCAGCACCTGCTACCTCACCTACGCAACCCTTCTTAAGCTGAAGCTTACAAGTTCACGCTCTCTGCCCTCTTCCTCTCCTCTCTGCTTTCTCTCTGCTCACCTCCTCTCCTCTCTGCTCTCTGCCTTTCCTTTTCTTCCCTTTCGGGCAGCCCTCCAATAAAATCTCTTGTTTGAATCTCATCTCAGGTGAGTCACTTGCCTTTCAGTTGTTCTTTTTCTTTCTGTTTTCAAAGAGGTCAAAAGGAGCACATCTTGGGACAAAAAGAAGAGCTCTGAATTCCAACTGTCCTTCAGTGGAAAAATGCTTCACTGCCAAGTGATCTCCCCAATTGGTCAAACTTTCATACTCTTCATTAGTGATACTGTCAGGATTTCTGTCCAAACAGGCTTTGTTTTGTTGAGTTCTTCATGATCAATGTACTTCTCCTTAATCTTTTTATTCTTCTTCTTGTCACCATCCTTCTATTCTTCTTCTTCATCAGAACCAACATCTTCATCTTTAGGTTTGTCATCAGGCTCCATTTCTCCATTTCTTTTCCTCCTCTGTATCTTCTTTTCTTCAGCCTCATCATCACCGACTTCTTCATCACATTCCTTCTCCACAAAGAGAGTAATGGGGATAGCCAATAAGCTGGGACTGCTTCTTCACAATCTCCCTTATTCTTCTCTCCTCCAAGTACTGAGTTTGGTCTTCTTTCAGTTGCTGGGTAACCTTTGTCCCATGACCCATTGGTTCCCCTGTCTCAGCCCTGAGAGTGAAGGAGCTTCCGATGGGAATCCCAGGGATACTGCTCATCATCTTTGTATTTGATGATCACAGTCACTTTCTCAGCAACCAAATATGCAGAATAAAAACTGACACCAAACTGGCCAATCATGGAGATGTCTGCGCCAGCCTGCAAAGCCTCCATGAATGCTCTGGTCCCAAACTTGATGATAGTACCAAAGTTATTGATCAAGTCAGCCTTGATCATTCCAATTCCAGTATCCATGATCATGAGGGGTTGGTCTCGTTTGTTTGGAATGAGATTAATGTGTAGCTCCTTCCCAGAGTCTATCTTACTGGGATTGGTCAAGCTTTCATATCTGATTTTGTCCAGGATGTCTGAGGCTTTGTAAATCAGCTCCCACAAGAAGATAGATCTCTTTGTTTGAGTAGAAAATGTTGATGATCAATGATATCAACTGAGCAATCTCTACCTGAAGGCAAAGGTCTCCACCTCCTCCTCCTCCTCCACATGCTGGTCTTGGGTCTGGGTCTTCTCCGGCATCTTGGCTGGTGATGTCATGAGCTCCACGGTATAGTAACACCAGGACACTGAAGCAATTCTCCTTTAATTCTTAAGTATGTTTTTTTCTAAAATTTTGAACATGTTTAAAATAGCTGATTTAAAGTCTTTGTCTAATAAGTCCAACATGTAGGCTTTCTCAGGGACACTACTTTTTCTATATGTAGGACATAAATAAATAAATTTTTTATTTCCTCATGTGACTCCTAAGGTTTTGTTGGAAATTGGATGTTAAATACTGTAAAGTCACTACTCTGGAAATCAGACTGCCCTCCCTTCTCAGAATTTTTTGATTGTTTATTTTTATTTGCTGTTGTTTAGTTACTTTTTAAAAACTAAACTGTGAACTCTGTATTCTTTGTCATGTGTGGGCACTGAAGTCTCAATTAGGCTAGCTTAGGAGTCAGTTAATGATTAGACAAAGATTTCCTTAATGCCTAGAAACATTAAGTGGCTGTGTGCGTGTTGGGGCACACCTTCAGCATTCAGCAGGGCATATAACTATGCCCTAGCCTATGCTCACTATTTACACAGAACCTAAAGGTCATTCAGAGGTGAGAGTTAGGGCTTTCCCAGGTTTTCCCCAAGTCATGGGCATGTCCAAATCATAACACTTAAAAGTGGCCTTCTGGATTGTCAAAAATATCGCCGTCCCTTATGGACACTTCATTTCTCAGCTTTTCATGTTAAGCTTTTTCACTAGACTATAATTTGCTCTGATTATTATCAATTGTGTCACAAAGGCATGAAACTAATCAATTGCCACAGATTATTTTAGATTAACATCCCCAAAGAAAAGGCCTTTTCACTGGGTGAACTCTGAGTCAGGTCTAATAGGGACAGCCTTCTTAGAAGTGTCATCCAGGGAGCTACCAGGCAGGTCAGATGGTGAAAATTCCCTAGTAAGATGCTTTGAAGGAGCTCCAACTCTGTTCTGTTCCCCTCATTGGCTTTTTTAATGAAGTATTTGCTCAAATCTTTTGCCCATATTTAAAATCAAGATACAATTATTGAGTTATAAGATTTCTTCATATACACTGAAATTAAGTCCTTTATAAGATATATATTTTACATATGATTTCTCCCCATCTGTGGCTTGCCTTTACATTCTATTTACATTGTCTTTTTCTAAAAAAAAATAATTATTATCCAGGCATGGTGATGCATACTGTAATCCC